ACTGGGAGGAGGTAACTATGGGGAGGAAGTGGGAGGGTAGCTGCTGCATTGTAAATTTTGGTCAATGACATGAGACAAAGTGTATGTGAACTGCTGTATGAAAAGTGAATTTACTCTGTAAATCTTCACCCAAATCCTAATTAAAAAAAAAAAAAAAAAGAGAATAAGCTCCTGTTTCTTCAAGCCATCCCATTTATGGTATATTCTTGTCAGAGCAGCACTAGGTAACCAGAACAATGATAGTTACCTGATACATCAAAAAAAGTCTGTGCCCTTCCAGTCCCTGCACTGCTGACGGCAATGCACTCATAGGAGCCTTCATCAGACAAAGTGACTTTTTCTATATCCCAGTTCACATTGGTGGATTCTCTGGGGTAAGAAAAGAGAAATTTTCATTTACTATAAAAACAAAAGCATGTTGAAAATAATTTCAGTATTTGTTTTGAAGTATTCATTTAAAAGAATGAGGTAGAGACAATAAAACTGCATAGTTCTTTATAAGTTTAAATTACACACACTGTCATAATTACAAAGTTAAACTTTTCTACTCTGTGTAAAAGACTGAACAAAGACCAAGTAAATTATGGAGACTGAAAATTTCTTTAAGGAAACATTTTCTGGCTATGTTAAAATAAAAGATGATAGAGCTGGCAAAGAAACATTCATTAATCTTTTCTCCTTACCCTGTCTTTACCAGCTTTTGGTCATATTTTAGTGAGGTTCTTAGTCAAAGCAATGTAATCGGGCAATTCACAAGTTGGAATGGAGAATATAGAATGTTTTTATTCTATGAAGATAAATTATCCTTAACTTTCTTATATATAAATTCCATATGGAGCTATATACCATATCTGATGATATATATGCATACAGACACATATAATGAAGAAAGAAAATAACTATCAATTTGTCAATATCAATATTTTAGGAAAAAAATCCCTCTTATTAATTTGTTCATTTAATACTTATTCTTTGTCCTCTAATACTAGAAAATTAAATTATTTTCTGGAAATGTCTAAATAATACATATTTAATCCTTGTTCAAAAGATTCCAATCATTTATAAAAACAGGTATCATCCTGTTTCATAATATGTTGAATTATCATAAGTGTTCTCATTTTCTTCTTGTCATTATCTTTAGCTATTCACAAGCTTATTAAACATTCATGGTGCAGCTTAGGTACAAAGCCCACTGAATAGTCAAGATATTGTCAAATGGAGTCTGAATGTGGCATAATAAATAAAACCTCAGAATGATAATTCCAGATCACTCCTCATCCAAACAAACCACATCAATCATCAAATAACCATAAAGAACATATTAAGCTCTTAATTTGAATTCAGTGCTGACCTAGGGTTTGTAACAGGAAGTTAAGACACAGGTTCTTGTCATAACAGCAAGAAAATAAGCAAAGTCACTACTCTAGATATTTCAGTTGTTGTTGTTATGTGCTGACAAGTCAAACCCGACTCATAGCGACCCCTCCTTGGGTTTCCGAGGCAGTATCACTACGGAAGTAGGATTGCCCAACCTTCCTTCCAAGGAGTGGCTGGTGGGTTTGAACCGCCAGCCGTCTGGTTAGCAGGCAAGTGTCTTAGCCACTACGCTACCAGAGCTCCCAAATATTTCAGTAGCTATGAATATTCACTTCAGTTCTGAATCATAAGCTGGGTAATGTTTCTTAATTTTATTTTGTATGCACTATATACCACTGGTCCTTATTACTTTCAGAGGAAGACAAAATATTACTTGGCTCTAAATATAGTGCCCTAAACACCTAAGATGTATCTTGAAAGCTAAATAACAGTATGCTAAGTACTAGTTAGGAGCTCTGGTAGCTTAGTGCCTAAGGCACTTGACTGCTAACCAGAAGCCTGGCGGTTCAACCCCACCAGCCACTCCTCGGAAGGAAGGTTGGGCAATCTACTTCCATAGTGATACTGCTTCGGAAACCCAAGGAGGGGTCGCTATGAGTCAGAGACAACTTGACGGCACATAACAACAACAACAAGTACTAGTTTATAAATGTCATCATCTAGGTACTGATAAGTTCCAGGAAGATAGGAATTTGGAATACATACGTGTTCAGTGTCCTGTGAAGTGCCTACATTAAAGCCAGTAATATATTAGGATTCAGCACAAACTTAAATTCATGGAAATCTTGGAACATAAAGTGACTGTAGTCTCAAGTTCCTCATTTTAAAAACAAGGAAATTGAAATCTAGAAAGAAGGACAACTAATTTGTTCAAAGGTATATAACTAGTTTACTGATTAATGAATGTTCTTAATGATTATATTTGTTCCTCTCTTGTTTATGAAATATTGAATGAAAATGATTCTTTTTTCTAATAGCCTTCTCAGTTAACATTAAGCACTACACAACCATAATAATGAAAAAAAAAAAAAAGCTAAAGGGATGGTCTTTGGAAAAGGGAAGAAAGCATTAAAATAAGGAAGAAATATATCCTGCTGCTAATGAAAACCAATCCCCTCTTACATTCCTTAGTGACCTAAGTGGATGACATAAACAAAGATTAAGTCTCATGTCTTGAGTTATTAGGAAATCTAGGGTGGAGATGTATGAGTTAATAAGGATTAGAGTGTCAATCCATCATCATCCATGCCTAATTTTGTTTCTAGTGCCTCACATCCAAAATACTTAATGTACATCAGCAAAGCAAGTCCTATCTCTGGACCACAGAGCTGGAAAAATGAGAAAAGGAATTTTGGTGGTTTACCTCCCACGGATTGTATGAAATTAATGAATTAATGTGTATAAAAAATCCCAAGTGTCTTTGAAAAAAGTTACTATTTAAATATAAAGTAGAATTATTTGATTTCATCAGTCAGTTATGTGGCTTCATCATTTGCTATCCTGGTGAATATTAACTATTAGCCAAGTAAATCATCAGGATGTACTATATAAGAATAGTAGCAGGAAATTTTACAGTTCAATCTTTAAAGAATGGAAAATTTTCTAAAGTTAAATGAACACTTCTGCCAGAAGACTTTGCTTAAAATGCTTAAAATGATAAAGGGATTGTATAAAGTGAGATTCATAAATAACGTCATATAGAAGTTATTTATATTATATTGAATTCACACTGCAAAATTTTACAAAAAAAAAAATTCTGAAAATGTACATAGTTTCACAGTAAGTTAAAAAACAACACTTTCCAGAAATCATTTTCCTCCTGGTTTTCAAAATGCAATCAATAACTATCATTAGATTACTTACTTAGATTTGTCTAAGGGAGTCAACCATCCCCATGAGAAAAATTCATGCCTTCTAGCTCACTCCTGTTGATGATATGCAGTGGTTTGTGTGTTTCTGGTACACCTGTCCCTCCTTCTCCAGCATACACCACACCTGCCTAGCCTCATCATCCATCCTTCTTCTCCTGGTTCACTGAAATCTCTCTACACTGGCCTCCTTCCTGTTTTATATTTTTGGTGAACTAGTGCCTTAGGCAATGCACTTGCTGTTCCTGCTGTTTGAGTGCTCTGCCTCTAGATATCTGTGTGACTGGCTCTCTCACTATCATCAGGTCTTTGCTCAAATACTCCTTACCCTAAATTTTAAAATTTACGACTTACCCAAAACCACACCCTACCAACTTCCAGCATTCCTTATCCCATTTAATTTCCTCTATTTAGGAGCTATGGTGGCTTAGTGACTAAGGCATTTGACTGCTAACCAGAAGGCTTGCGGTTCAAACCTACAAGCCACTCCTCAAAAGAAAGGTTGGTCAATCTACTTCCATAGTGATACCGCCTTGGAAACCCAAGGAGGGGTCGCTATGAGTCGGGTCTGACTTGAAGGCAATGTGCTGCATTGTGTACTTTCCTCCCAAAATCTTAGGAATCCCTGGGTGGTGAAAATAATTAATGCACTTAGCTCCCAACTGAAATGTTGAAGGTTTGAGTCCATCAAAAGGTGCCTTGGAAGAAAGACCTGTAATTTATTTCCAAAACATTTGGCCATTGAGAATCCTATGGAGGACAGTTTACTTTGACATACCTGAGATCACCATGAGTCAGAAATCTACTCAGTGGCAACTTGTTTGTTTTTGTTTTTTTTTTTTCTAATCACTTTAAATCATATTCAGAGGGATATTTACATCTAGTCTTTATTGGTTTCAACCAATAAAGATTCAGGTTCAGGGCCTCTCATTTAAAAGGTCTCCTTCCAAGGTTCATTATCTAATTGTGTATTCAAAATTTTGCATTCTTTATCATAATAAAGGATCTCAAATTGTATAAAATTCAAATCCCATAAAACTTGAATCCACCCTTGAATATATTCTAGAATTTACTGTATTATCATATTGTATCTATTATATGTTATCTCTCTGTCAATTGCAATATATCAGTGGTCTCTGACTGATATGACAACTGCTATATCCCAAGATAGGAGTCCTGATGAAGCAGTGGTTAACTGCTGACTGCTGACTGAAATCTCAGCAGTTTGAACCCACCAGCCACTCTATAGGAGAAAGATGTGACAGTTTGCACCCACAAAGATTTCAGCCTTGGAAACCCTATGTGGCAGTTCTACTCTGTCCTATTGGGTCTCTATGATATTAAATAGAGTCAACTCGACAGTGATAGATTTGATTTTTTTTTTTTTCTTTTTAATATTATGAGACTGATTAGGGAGCAAATAAGTGAGAATTTCCAAGGAAAAAGTTCAATAAAATGATAATCTATTTGTATTTAGATTATTACTAAGAAAACAAACAAAAACAACGAACATTTACACACTTCAAATACTGGTCTACTCCAAGTACAACTCCATTTCTGACAAAGCTTAAAGTAAAAGGCAAAAGACTCTCAACAGAGCAGGGAATTTGGCCTGGTCGTAGGTAGTATCCTGGGGTTTTCTCGGGCATTGTAACTTTGGGAGCATCTAGGAAAGAAAGAACATAGGCAAGATGGTCATAAAATCATTGAGTATTTCCTATTAACATGTTCACAAGCATGCTAGTTAAATTATGTCAAGAAATCCTCTTCATTTCAACTAATCAAAATCTCTAAAAATATTATTAACTATCTTTATTTATTTAAAAACTATTCATTTCTGGTTATCTTCATGGATATTCATTGAATGTAGTATTCACTGAAACTAAGACTCTTGATTTTAAGACACAACATTATTTTTGTACAATCAAGGTAGGAAAACAAACTGTCAAATAAATTACAATATATCATCAATTGTAAGGAATATTTTAATTTCAAAAATATAAAAATATGAATATAACCCACATACCTTAGATTCAAATACATAGGGTCATTGTTCCATTTTCCAAATGGAACAAAGCTTTTTTTTTAGTTCAATATATTTTGTAACATTCAAATTGGATGCTAAACCAACTAACTTTGAATATTCTATATAGGAAATATTAAGGTTGGCTCTACTCTCATCATTCACTCTACAACTATTAATCAACAGCTATAGAATTTCCCAAATCACAACCTTGTGTATAAAATGATAAATTCTTCTTCCTCTTCCCAATTGTACAATTTTAGAAAATAATTCTCTGTACCTTTGTCAGTTAATAGTTCAAGATGAAGTCCAAAAGTTTAGGTCAGAGTTCAGTATCACAGTTGAGAAATAACTCAAATAGAGCTGATGTCACCAAATAGTCCCTAACCTGTAATTTCATCCCTATCTACAAGCAAATATATAATAACTCCCCCCAAAAAAATCACACATTAAGTCGATTCTGACTCATAGCAACCCCATTGGGTTTCCAAGGCTGTAATTCTTTATGGAAGCAGACTGCCTCTTCTTTCTTCCATGGAGCAGCTGGTGGGTTTGAACCACTGACCTTTGGTTGTCAACCAAATGCCTTAATCACTACACCAGGAGAGTGCCTTATATATAATAACTAAATCTGAATGAATTAATTAATTAACCAAGAGCCCTGGTGGCACCGTGGTTAAGCACTTAGCTGCTAACTGAAAGGTCAGCAGTTTGAATCCACTAGCTGCTCCACAGGAGAAAGATGTGGCAGTCTGCTTCCAGACTGTTATAGTTTTTAGGTGCCACTGAGTCAGTTCCAACTCATAAAGACCCCATGCACAACAGAACAAAACACTACCTGGTCTTGTGCCATCCTCACAATCATTGCTATGCTTGAGACCATTGTTGCAGCCATTGTGTCAATCTATCTCGCCTAGGATCTTCCTCTTTTTCAGTGACCCTCTACTTTACCAAGTCTTTCTCCAGGAACTAATCCTTCCTGATAACTTGTCTAAAGTTCATGAGACAAAGGCTCACCATCCTCGCTTCTAAGGAGCATTCTGGCAGTACTTCTCCAAGTCAGATTTGTTCATTCTTCATGTAGTCCATAATATATTTGATATTCTTCACCAACACCATAATTCTTCTTTGGTCGTCCTTATTCATTGTCCAGCTTTCACATGCATATGAAGCTACTGAAAATACCATGGATTGGGTCAGTTGCATCTTAGTCTTCAAAGTGACATCTTGGCTTTTTAAGACTTTAAAGAGATCTTTTGCAGCTGATTTGCCCAGTGTAATATGTTGTTTGATTTCTTAACTGCTACTTACATGAGTACTGATTGTGGATCCAAGTGAAATGAAATCCCTGACAATTTCAGAATTTTCTCCATTTATCATATTGTTGCTTATTAGTTCAGTTGTGAGGATTTTGATTTTCTTTATGTTGACCAAAAAAGAAAAAAAAACCAAACCAAACTCACTGCCATTGAATTGTTTCTGACTCAGCAACCTCTCCTTGGGTTTCCAAGGTGGTATCTCTATGGAAATAGATTGCCCAATCTTCCTTCCGAGGAGTGGCTGGTCTTTATGTTGAGGTGTAATTAATACTGAAGGCTGTAGTCTTTTATCTTCATTATTAACTGCTTCAAATGTGCTTCACTTTCAGCAAGCAAGGTGGTGCCATCTGCATATCACACGTTGTTAATGAGTCTTCCACCAGTCTTGAGACTGTGTTCTTCATATAGTCCAGCTTCTAGGATTATTTGGTCAGCATACAGACTGAATACATATAGTGAAATATACAACTCTGATGCACACTTTTCCTGATTTTAAACAATGTACTATCCCCTTATTCCGTTCAAATGACTGCTTCTTGGTCTGTGTGCAGTTCCTCATTAGCACAATTAAGGGTCCTGGAATTCTCATTCCTCACAATGTTATCATAATTTGTTATGATCCACACAGCTGAATGCTTTTGCAAAGTCAGAAAATATAATTAAACATCTTCCTGGTATTTGCTTTCAACCAAGATCTGTCTGATGTCAGAAATAATATCTCTCATTTCATGTTGTCATTGTTGTTCCTGTTGTTAAGTGTCATCAAGTCATCTCTGACTCATAGCAACCCTGTGCACAGAACGAAACACTGCCCAGTCCCACGCCAGCTCCATGATCCTTGGTATACTTGAGCCAATTGCCACAGCCCCTGTATCAATTCATCTCGTTGAGGGCCTTCTCCTCTTTTATTGACCCTCCACCTTACCAAGCATGAAATCCTTCCCCAGGGAATGGTCCCTTCTGACAACATGACCAAAGCAGGTGAGACGAAGTCTGGCCATTCTTGCTTTCAAGGAGTATTCTGGCTGCACTTCTTCCAGGACAGATTCATTAGTTCTTTCAGCAGTCTTATTCCATGTCCTCTTCTTTATCTGGCTTGAATTTCTGACGGTTTATGGTTAATGCAGTACTGCAAACATATTCGAATTATCTTCAAAATTTTGCTTGTGTGTGATATTATTGGGAGCTCTTCTTCAGTAATTTCCATATTCCATTGAATCACTTTTCTTTGGAATGGGCACAAATATGGATCTCTTCAGTTAGCCAGGTAGCTTACATAAAGATTACAGACTTGGAAACCCTTTGAACAGTTAGTTCTACACTGTTCTACAGGGTTGCTATGAGTCAGAATTGACATTACAGCAACAGGTTTTCCTTTCAGAATTAACTAACCAACACAATAATAAGCCAGAATCATCACCACTCATTTCCTAGTGCTCATGGAGGTGAAGATTGTATAATTTTTAATATTTAGTCAATTTAGACAGTTTAATCAAGCATATGTGCCCAGTTTTTTTAGGAGGAGGAAAGGTACCAGAGCTTCTCAGTTTGAGTTCTTACACTGATTGAAATAATCAAAACTCCCAGATCTATAATCAAGAAGACTTAACATGAAACTTCAGATATTCTACTTTATGTTTAAAAATAGTTGTCTTACCTGAATGTAAATGCCCATCGATTTGGTACCACAGTAGTAATGTGAGGATATTATGATTTTATAGTTCTTTTTTAAAAAACCTATCTGGCCACATCAACCCTTTAAGCCACCAATACTCTAGTGTTGAAAAAAATGATGTCTCACCTGGAACAATACTAGAGAAGGAAACACTTGACACTCTCTGGAAGAGATAATCATCCTTATCATAGCCAGTGACTTTAAGAAAGAAAGCTTCATTTGGTGGAATGAACTCAGAAATATTCCATATGCCATATGGTTTTTGATCTGGGTAATATTTAACAGGCATAGTCTTAAGAGGACTGCCTGAGATACTTAGAAGTTCAAGACGATCTACTCTAGCTGGAATGGAAATTCCAGAAGTATTCAGCAGCACATAGGTAGGTATTCCTACAAAAGAAAGATTTTATCATGTACCAGTAGCATCCAAAATTGAGGTGATATATGAAATAAATATTTCCCTTTTAATAACAGACAACAAATACCATGAAGGCGAGTACTACAGACTTTCCTATCAATTGTGGAAATTGTACCAGCTGTACAATCTTTTCTATATAAAAGAAAGTCTGTCCATGATTAAAGAATCTTAGGGAATCATGAGTAATTATCCTTATTTTAATTACATATACACATCAAAAATCAGAACTGTGAGCATTGTATTATATGACGCTTGATTACAGGGATATTTTTCAAGATTCACAATTGTGTACCTTTCCAGAAATTATATCAAAATCAAAATAAAAGAATAATCAGAAAGATAAAATTTAAGACTCACAGGAGGATTGAGTATTTTCTTGTGATAAAACTATGACTCCTCATGCATGAGTAAAATAAGAGGAATTTAAAAATAAGCACAAATTTCATCTTTGAATATACAATCATACACGGTATCCTTAATTTTTTCAGCTATATTCACACACACTATCTTTTCACATGGTAGCAAAGGAAATTGTAGATTCAATAAGAAAAACTCTCAAAGTCAAAGTCAATGGTTCTCAGAATTTAGTAAGTATGGAAATCAACTGAGGTATTCACTAAAATGTATATTCCTAGGCTATACCTTCTGAAATTCTGATTCAGGAGTCCAAGAGTGGGGCCTAGGTATCTTAAATTTTAGATTCTGATTTCCTGAATGAGTTTGATATCAATGGTCTTGGATCCATAACTTGAGAAAGACTGACTAGGTGAAGATGGCAATAATTTTTAAAGTAAAGATTCAATCTTTCCAAATTACTGAAAATGCAAAATTATAAAATCACAGACAGTCTCAAAACTATTTTTGGCTTAGATATTGATTGTGTCAATTTAAATAATGCACATATACAAACCTTGCACTGGTCTGCTGACTGTTTTTTTGAAGTCCAGAGTGGGCTTTTGGGAAAAGCCAGCTCGAAAATCAATAGTACTGAGGCCGGTGATGCGAACAGAGTGTCTTCCACTGCTTGAGGTCTGGAAAATGTTCAAAGACAAACACAGTCAGCAATCAATCCAGGAATCTGGTCACACACAACATTAGACAGTATGGGAAACTGAAGAGCAGTTCATTAAGATTGATGTCCAATAATTGAAGCTTCTGAGCTGGTGCTATGAACTTTACTATGATTCATATTTTAAGCATAAGTTTTGTTACATTCCTCCCTCATATCCCATGGGCATTCTTTAACATAAAATTCAAGAAAAAATTCTCCCTTCCCACATATGAGACCTGGGTTTGATTCCTAGTCAATGTACCTCCAGCACAGTCACCACCTGTCTATCATGTTGCTATGATGCTGAAAGGGTTTCAGAGGTGTTTCTGGACTGAGATACACTAGGAAGAAAGGCCCAATGACCTACTTCCAAAAGTTATCCAGTGAAAAGCCTATGGATCACAATGGTACAATCTCATTGTGCATGGGGTCACCATGGGTTAAGGGTCAAGTAGATGTCAGCTAACAAACATTGCATGGAGTCCCTGAGTGGTGTAAATGGTTAACAATCTCAGTTACTGATCAAAAGGTTGGAGGTACAAATCTACCCACAGGTACCTCAGAAGAAAGGCCTAGCCTGTTACTTTAAAAAAAAAATCAGCCACTGAAAACCCTATGGAGCACAGATCTATTCTGACACATATGGGATGGCAACTGGAAATCACTGCATCACCAATGGTAAAAACCAAAAAGAACAAACTCACTGCCTTCAAGTCAATCCTGATTCATAGCAACCCCTCCTTGAGTTTCCAAGGCAGTATCTCTGTGGAAGTTGATTGCCCACTCTTCCTTCTGAGGAGTGGCTGGTGAGTTTGAACCACCAGCCTTCTGGTTAGCAGTCAAAGATATTTATTTACTACTGAATGGATTTGAAGTAAACTTAAAAAAAAAAAAAAAAAAACTCCATGAAAGCATGGATCTTTGCTTTGCTCACTGCTATGCACATGGTTGATGTTCAGTAAATATCGATGAAATGAATAACTACATCTTCTCTCACAAAAAGCATCTAGGCTCAATTCTGGAAAGAGTTTAATTTCCATTGTTTTTGCTTTTGCTTTTTCTTTGCCTCTGGGAAGATTCAGTCAGGACAAATGCAAGATTTGACTGCCCAGAATATATCCAACTGGCATCTCCTGCTCAGCAGTGTCCCAGCCGGGGTGTTCAGTGCTCAAGACACAAATGTGAGGAAAAGTTGTTCCTTACCCTCAAAGAGCTCACGGCCAATGGGGAAAATAATATGAAAAATATAACCCTTTAATTTGATACAGTAAATACAATGATATAAATACAAAAAAAAAAAAAAAAAAAGTATGCCTGGAGCATAGACTAGTTTATAGTTCAGATAAAACATTCTAAAAGGGATAATGGCTGACTAAATCTTCAGTGATAAACTAAGTCCTAGAGTGCAACATATGTGCATAAGTAATAAATAATATCAATTAAGGTCATAGGATAAAAATAGTAATACTAATGTCTATAGAACACTTGGGCGCTCTGGTGGCATAGGGCCTAAAGCATTTGACTACTAACCATAAGGCTGTTGGTTCAAACCCATCAGCCACTCCTCAGAAAGAAGATTGGGCAATCTACTTCCATAGTGATATCTCCTCAGAAACCCAAGGAGGGATCGCTATGAGTTGGATCCAACTCGATGGCAGTGAGTGGTTTTTTGGTATAGAACACTTACTCTATGGCCAGATTCTTTAAATACATTGGCTTATGTAATCTTCTTACCATCCTATAAAGTATATATCATTATCACCACTGTACAGATAAGGCAATTGGGACACCAAGACATTAAATAGCTTGCCCAGATTCACAATATTTATTAATTACACAGATGGAGTTTTAATCCAATGGTCTGTCTCTTCACCACAGTGACATATTGTCTCCCAAGGGCAAGATAAGTCAGACTTAATCTCTACTTGAATATCTTTCAAAATATGATCTCAGGAGCACCTTCACCAAAATCACTTGAGTTATTTATTAAAAATGCAGATCCCTGAATACCAGCCCAAATTTACTAAACCAGAATTTCTGTTCAGTGGAGTCTAAGAATCTACATTTCAAAAAGTAACTAGGGCTTATGAACAAGAGTTCATCATAGTTGTATTACTTTGATGACCAAGATTCTGTTTAACATGAAAAGACTACATAACACCAGTCTTTTAAGTTGAAGTAGGAGATAAGCATAAGAGAAAGCATTCACGTGAAAACACTACCAAAACCAACCCAAAGTCACTGCCATTGAGTCAGATTCACAGTGATGACAACACTAAGACACCAAATATGGATCTCAATCTCAACACTGAGAAGACATTATTTAAGTATCATAGGAGAGTCAGGATGCACTAGAACAGTATATATTCTTTTCAACTGGTAAACAACCAGATTTGGCCACATATGGTTAAAGCTGGGGCACCTCTAGAGTTCTACAAAGTATTCCATGAATCATTATGACTGCTTCTTATTTGTCAGTAAGGAGAAGAAGCATGAAGTGATAAGTCCTTGGTGTTCTCGTATTTACATATCACTGGGCAGAGTCAGTAAAAACTATAAGGGAAAGGGAAATGGATATGCAGGGATGGGGAGATATGTCTTCATTCTTAGCATAAATGATGCTGCCAGTCACTGGAGTTCATTTACATAAGAGTAAGTTTGGGGACTTTAGCATTACCACTTTTCCATTATTTCTGAAGAAAAATGTGTGATAAATCCACACAAATAAACAAAACATAGAAACTGAATCATGACCCACCTCTATATTGGAGATTTCCTGTAACAAATCAACCAAACCACTGCCATCGAGTTGATTCCTATTCATATGGCCGAGTAGAACTGACCCATAGGAGGCTGTAATTTTTTATGGAAGCAGACTGCTCATCTTTCTCCCATGGAGTGGCTGGTGGGTTCAGATTACAGATCTTTTGGTTAGCAGCCAGATGTATTAACCACTGTGGCACCAGAGCTCCTTACTTCCATACAGTTTGCTAATTGCAAAGTGTATGGAAGTTCCCTATAGGGCTATAAAAAAAAAAAAAAACATCGCTAAATCTAATTTCAACTGCTTTAGGTAATGTAAAGCTTTATTGAAGACACCATTGCCTACCAATTTCATGTTTACTTGTTTGCTTGTTTACAATTGCTGTCTAATTGATCACAAATCATGGTGACTCATGTGTCAGAGCAGAACTGTACTCCATAGGATTTTCAAAGCTGAATTTTTGGAAGTAGATCACTAGGCATGTCTTCTGAGGTAAGTCTGTATGGACTCAAACCTCCAATATTTTGGTTAGTAGCCAAGAGAGTTAACCATTTACACCACCCTGGGATTCCCACCAATTTAATGTCAGGGCAATCAAAATGGTCACTCCTATGGTGAACTGATTTATATTTATTCACTGACATCATATTACTGTTAGTTGCCTTGCTGCTTAGAAAATCTCATTATGACAAAGCAACTATTGAGACCATCAAGGGCAAATACGATATATGATTTGCCAACTGGCTGCTATCAAGTGATAATTGTCTACCAAGTTTTCTGTACACAAACCAACTAAAAAAGGCTTTTTAAAAAGAGCTGTTTAGTATCTGTGTGAGAAAATCAGGAATTGGCCAATCATTTGGAAACATGTTATCCACCATTGCTAACTTATACATTAAAAATAAAGCAATGCTGATGAATAAGGAGGCTGAAACAAACTAATTTTGGTTCTTGAAGCACTAAAGTAATTAACAAAGTGTATAGAAGTGTGGAGGTAGGTTTGCTATTCCCTAAGTAATGCTAAAAATATGAAAGACAATAAAAATTTAAATAGCAAAATATATTATTTTTATGTTTCTAGATTACACTATAAACAGTAGGAGTGTCTTCTTATAATTTAGAAAAGATTGTAAATAAAAGATATTTCCAAGTGTGAAGGAAAGAGACCTTGGATAAGCAAAGCCCTACCAAAGAAGAACAAAGTAGGAGGTCTCACACTCCCAGATCTCAAAACCTACTATATAGCTACAGTTGTCAAAACAGCCTGGTATTGGGAAAATGACAGACATAGACCAGTGGTACAGAATTGAGAACCCAGAAATAGATCCATCAACCTATGATCAGTTGATCTTTGACAAAGGGCCAAAATCCATTAAATGGGGAAGAGATAGGCCCATTAACAAATGGTACTGGGAAAACTGGATATCCATTTGCAGAAAAACAAAACAAGATCTATACCTCACACCATACACAAAAACTAACTCCAGATGCTTCAAAGACTTAAATGTGAAACCTAAAACTATAAAGTTCACCGAAGACAAAATAGGAACCAACTTAGGGGCCCTAATTTATGACATAAATTATCAAGCCAAACCCAAGATGCACAAACAGCAAAAGATAAACTAGATGATAAAGATGAACCTTCTAAAAATTAAATTCTTATGTGTATCAAAGACTTCTTCAAAAGAGTAAAAAGAGAACCTAGAGAATGGAAAAAAAAATATTCTGAAACAATGTATCACACAAAGGACTTACCTCTAAAATGTATAGAAAACTCTAAAATGTATAGTTTAACACCTCAACATAAAAAAGATAAACAATCCAATTAAAAAATGGGCAGAAGACATGAACAGACACTTCACCAAAGAAGATATTCAGGCAGCCAACAAACATATGAGGAAATATTTGTGATCATTAGCCATTAGAGAGATGCAAATAAAAACAACCATGAGATACCATCTCACCATAGCATTAATAACAAAGTTCAAGAAGCAGAAAATAACAAATGCTGGCAAGGATGTGGAGAGTTTGGCAGTCTCATACAATGCTGGGGGAACTGTAAAATTGCTCTGTAAATTACTGGTATGGCTTTTCTAGCCATAAGTCTTTGTAAACTCCATGGTGGAATTTGCTGTGAGCAACTGAGGAGCTCCTGGTTGTTAAAGTTATCCCCCTGGGGTATTTCTGTTGAGACTGGCACAAAGCAATGTTCTGGG